TTATAAAACAATGTTCAATGTCATTTTATCATTACCCTCCTGTCATTTCTCCTTATTATTATTTTTATTTTTTTTTCATGTCAACTCATCATGTCATTTTCCCATTACATTCCTTTCATCCCTTAGTGATAGAAATATTCACCAATCACTCCCCCTCACTTTTATTTTATTTTTTTAATAAATATATAAAATATGACTTAATAATGATATAAAAGCAATAAAAACTATTTCATTAATTAAAAAATTACAAAAACAAAATAAAAATTACATAATTAAAGTTCAATCACAACTAAAACACATTAAAATAGTACGTCACGCCTCATCTTCGGTCATATCTTCATCCTAGTTCTCATCCAAATCATCTTCAAACATGTCCGAATCATCATATGTATCGTTAAACAAATCGTCGTACGAATTGTTGTCAACAGTATTTAGAGGTGTATTGTAAATATATTCCACCAAATCAGCGCAAAGGCTGTGGTGTTTAGCTCCGTGATATATTTCCCTTATGTTCGCCATGTATTATGGCTATCTACTCCTTTGAGTATTACTAAATTTTCATTTGAGTATTACTAAATTTTCATTTTCATTGTAATGCTAGTTGATTAACTTTTGTTGTACATTTTTTAGTTAGAGAGAAAACATTGCATGCTACTCGCATCCCATTTCAGTTGAACATATGGAAATTGATTCTTCACGTCATCGGATAATTTTTTCCTCATACAGAAACGACGTCTAAATTTTATAATTAATGTAGATGACATCATCGATAAAGAAGTCTTGTACAAGATGATTGTGTTCAACCACACAATTTCTCTATAATGGATTTTTTCTGATTTTTTAATGCGAACTTTTGGCTTCGTTTTTTTGTAGATAAACACATGTTGTTTGTATAACGTTCTCGATAAACACTGATTTCCGCAAACCAGGGTATCCAATGAAGTGGAAGATGAAGATGGCATTTTGAATTCGATATGTAAAAGATATATAGGTTTTGGGTGTTTATATTGTGGTATAAAACGGAATGCATGTTGTTTATTTATAGTTAAAAATAAATAAATAAATAAATAAATAAAAACTTTTTTTTATTAATTCCAACCGTCAAAAAGAGAAGAAGCATGCAATGGAAATACACCTATTTGCCTAAGTTGTTAAATAAAAAAGCCTTTAGTATTAACCTGTATGGTCCCGAAAATGATTTCGACCCCCTATAAATATATGTTCTCCTCCTTTACGGTATCAATAATCGAAATAAAAACAAGAAAAAACATCATAAATGGTCCCTGTGGTTACCTAAAATCTGAAGTTTAGTCCCCGTGGTTTAAAAAACCTCATAGATGGTCCCTGTGTTTTCAAAACTTTTGATGTTTGGTCCTTTTTGCTAACTCTGTTAGATTTCTACTGTTAAATGAAGGGTATTTCCGTCATTTAACTATCCAGGGACCTTTTATGAGGTTTTCTTTTATTTTATTTTTTTAAAAAGAAAAAAATAATAAAATTTAATATCCAATGGGTCTCTCTCTCTCTCTCTCTCTCTCTCTCTCATCAGATCAAGCACCATCGGCTTGTGACTTAATTTAGGTCTGCACAGATCTGTGCTTCAACCGTGAAGAACGTTGGTGAGGAACGATCAAGCACACCGGCAACCATGGTGAAGCAGCGACTGTATCTATACTTCTCCCTCTCTCTCGCCAACCCACCGTGGCACCATTGCTGCTTAACAAGATCGAATTGCAGGTGGAGGAGATCGGGACAGGAGAAGAATGTCATTGAGGAGATCGGGACTGATATAGAGGTCGAGATTTTCTGGGTATGCATTCATTGGTTCTAGATTTGACGGAGGTCCCATTGCTCTTTCACTTTTCTTTTTTGCTTCCTTATACTCGAATCTACATTTGCAATCTGGGTTTTATAGAAGCTCTTGGTGTTCCGTCCATCTGATGAAGTTTTACAAAGGTACTAGGTGGCCGAGATCCGAATTAGATGAGGTAGAATCGCAATCAGAGACCGGTTCTTCCTCATCAAAGACTGTTGATCGATTGAAAAGGAAAACGAAAATAATAAAGGGGAAATCGGACTTACAGGGGTCGCAAGAGGTGATGGGGCTGGTCGGAGATGACCGACGGAAGCAACAGCTGACGACGACGGTGGTTCACAGCAGCGACGATGATGGTGGCAGGGGCTGCTCCGACGGTTCTGCTGTTTCGTTTTCTCCTTTTTCCGGTGAGCTCGATGAGAGGGAGGGTAGGGAGGAATGAGGGTTGTGTTCAGTGGTGATTTTTAATCGAGAGAGAGAGAGAGAGATACCCATTGGATATTAAATTTAATTATTTTTTTCTTTTTAAATTAAATAAAATAAAAGAAAACCTCATAAAAGGTTCATGGATAGTTAAATGACGGAAATACCATTCATTTAACGGTAGAAAGCTAACGAAGTTAGCAACAAGGGCCAAACATCAAAAGTTTTGAAAACACAGGGACCATCTATGATGTTTTTAAACCACGGGAACTAAACTTCAGATTTTGGATAACCACAGGGACCATTTATGATGTTTTTTCTAAAAACAATATAATCCACCAATTATTACTAAAACCGTAAAAGTGCATATACCCTTCGGTCCAAAAAAACTGTGCCACTTTAGCGGTTAAAAAACAAAAATGGAAAAAGGAAGTTGCTTCAAGTATTCAACCAACTACAGATACAATTAATATTCCACACACCTAATTGGCAAAAAAAATTCTTTCATCTTTCTGCCTAATTCAAATTTTTTTTTTTTTTTTTTTTTGAGAAATTACCTCTTTAATGAATCAATCATATGTCATTATATGATATTTTTTTATGGAACGGCTTTATAGCAATAAGTTGTTTTAAAGTTGAACGATAAGTTACTTTTAAATTGAAGATTGTGATGAGATAATTATTTTTTTGAATGTTTAATTTCCAAATAATATCCATTAAGATGTTGTTTTCTTGAGTTAATAGACTGAATAGATATGGTAATTAACTTTTTCAGATATAAATTTATGTTTCTTCGTAAGAAGATTCACTTTTTATTTTATTTTATTATTTTTTTTCGTTGTCATGCATTATCAACATTATAAAATTAGTTTCTTTAATCTACAAAATTTGTCATACCCAAACTAATATCTCAATCATCAGTTTGTTTTTCTAATATTTTAATTACCCCTTGCATGGTCAGTCCTGAAGATTCAAATGTCCTGGATGAGCCGGAAAAAAGGCCCTTAGGCCTTAACGTGGAACGAATTAAATTATATAAACTGTTTTTTTTAAACAACGATAAACTTTATAGCAATAAAAATAGCAAAATCATAGTATTTTAATGAGTACCGACTAGTTGTTCCGGACCGGATATTTTATACTACAATTTCACTAAAAATATAAATATTTATTAAAACGAAGATTTTAAAGGTTAGTTTGGTCATTAATAAAATGTGACAAAAATCTACTATTCTCCTTCAACCGTTCAACGATTTCCTATTGATAACTAGAAGTCGTTACTATCATTATCTTTTTGGAAGTCATTATAAATTAGTGAAACAAATGGGTGCATAGTGTATTAAAACTCAATAAAAGTAATTAATCTTTTAAAATAATTACTTAATAATTTAATAAAATATTACATGAAGAATCTTGCAATCTTGTTCTTAATGGATGCAAAAAAAAAAAAGACACGAGAATTTAGTGGAAGCACACAAAGGAAGTTTATCCCAATTAAAAAGGCACGCACTTGAACAATGAAGAGATTCGAACCCAGATAGTTTGTATTAACTTCAGAAAATAGAAGCGCGCTTACCATTTTAACCTTATGAAATTTATGTTTTTGTTTGAACGATTTATTATTTATATTAGTTTATAACCCGTGGGAACCACGGTTACAAAGTTGATTAAACTTATATAGTAAAAACTCAAAATTATTAATTAGTTATTTTAAATAAATTATTAATTAAGAAATTTTTTAGTTATATAAAATTATAATCATTGATTCAAATAAATATATAAAATTACATCACTTTATAATTTGTATTAATTGTATTTTAATTTTTATTCTAATGTTATTATTTTAATGTAATTAGAGTGGAAAATTTAAAATTTGAAATTTGAAATGGAGAATCAATAGGTTGACAATTGACATGCATTAATTAGGAGACATAATAAGGTGACACATGACAAAAATAAAATAAAATATGCATTAATTAGGAGACCTAATATGGTGACACATGTCAAAAGGAGAATAAAACTATTCTTTTATTAGAATAGAGATAAATATTAAATAGACAATATGACCAAATCTCAGGCCCTATTTTTTTCGGGGCTCTGTACGGCTACCCACCTTACCCCCTTCAAATCCGGCCCCGACCCCTTTTTTCTCAATAAGTCTAATAAAGAATGATCAATAATAAAGAATGATCAAGCTTTTATGTTTTATTCTATATGGTCTTTAATTGATTATTATATCTCTAGAAAACTAATCAGTAATCACATCGAATTAATGCATCTATTGCTCCATATGACATGGATATGTGTTTATGTAACGAGTAACGACACAATCCTTAAACATCATTTATCCAATTTGGTCATTTTTTCCTATAGTTTCAGACTTGTATTTTTTGGTTCGATTTTATCATTGAGTTTATGTTTATTTTATATTCATTTTAAGTTATTAATCATGTTATTTTTATTATTTTTTAAATTTTAGCTTTAGTTTTTTATGATGTAATCCTGTATTCAATCTAATCTTTAACTATTATTACATAAAAAATAAATTGCTATTTGTATTTTTAAACAGTTAGGTACAATAGCACTTATCAATTCAAACAAAAAAACTGTCTTTATATATTCAAGACAAAAAGGCCTAAGACACGTTTTTTTTAGATTTTTTAATCGACAAACATGATAACCTTTAATATAAATCATAACCTTATCGTTAAAGTAATTCTAGTATTTACTAATTTCCATGAAATATTAATATGAAACATTCGTCTCCGATAAAAACGAATCATAATCCTAACAACATCCAGTCCAAACTGACCAAACAGATATATATATAGATGCCCTCCTAGAATTTACGATTTTACCCTTCTATTCACTAACGCGTAGGAACTAGTAGTGGAATTTTACACAGAGATCCGCAGTAAAACTAATGCTAAAGTGGTAGCTACGTCGATCAGAATCATGTCTTTCCGGCAGCGGCTACAAATACCGGCAGCACTACGGTGATTGTTGCGTTGACCAGCTGCACCGGCAGCTCCAGCTGCAAATACAGGTATGACCGCCGCGCCTCCTCCTCGTGAAGAAGAGGAAGACTGTCCACCACCTCCCTTGCCGCCGCCTCCGGCCGAGTGCCCACCACCTCCGCCACCTCCACCTCTTGCACCGGCATGAGCAAATTTGCTCTGATTTACGGTTCCAACTTCACCACCAGTTATGGAATCGTTGGATTCACCTTTTTGTTTCTCAGTCATTTTTTCCGACGGATTTCCTGCAAAAACCAATATCTTTCTGAGCAACTGCCAAAGATAGTTCATTTAATATTGTATTTATAGATATTTAAATGTTTAAATCCCCTAAAAAATTGAGAGAGAGAGAGAGAGAGAGAGAGAGAGGAAGAAGAAGAAGAACCTGAGTTCAAATTGCTTGCAAGAGGAGCAGATGATGCAGGAAAATAGAAGTTGAAGAGAACCAAGAGAACTACCATCACCTTCATTATACTCATGCTTCCTTCCTTTCTTTATGATCTCAATTGTAAAGCTTACACTTTCTTATCAACTGCAATATATAAGCCTACTTAGTGGGATTTAAATGTTGAGTTCGAGTCCTTTTCACTAGTACCATATTTCTTCACCACAAAGTGGTTGTAATGTATGAAAACTATTAAACAAATGAATTGTGTTGGAAACGAAACACCGAAATCAACGGGTGAATATAGTCATGGTCAAGTAAAGGATTCGATCCAAATAATTTAGAGTGTACTTTAAATACTAGTAATCTAGTATTGAGTTAGGGGCAGCAATTTTAGCTCTCAAACTTTAGCCTTTTGAGGTTATGAAAGACTGAAAAGATATACAGTACAAAAACTTGGATACAATGAACGTTTAGAATCGATATGTATAGAAATTACACGTAAGATATGATATACTTTTTACATTTTAGTAGAAAACAACGTAAATTAGGGAAAAGCAATATTCCCAACCAATTGTCCCAATAGCGAAAGAAAAGTAAGATGCTAACAAATCCTTTTGGATGGGCTCTCTACATCATTCTCTCTAAACTCTAAAGTAGTCACTAATGTTTGTCTACTAATTAATGTTAGTAACCATACTTGTCCCAATGTGTATAGCACTAACTGCATAAATATTATCATTAATGTGTGTTGAAACATTACTCAATTCTACATTGTATCAATGAATTTTCAAACCCTTAAACTTGCATAAATATTATCAGACCGTGTGGTATACATACCACGAAACGGGTCGTGGTCCAGGTGGCCACGAGAAAATTTCGTGCACACCACCCCGACATTCCGTGGTCGGGCGTGGTCGTTGTTCTTCGTGTTCCCGACTAGGGATGAGATTTAGAACCGGAAAACCGGATCGGAACCGGAATCGGAACCGGAAGAACCGGAATATGTAAAACCAGTCCGGGTCCCGGGTTTAAAGAATGGCTCTATCCGGGTTCCGGGTAATCCGGGTTTCGGGTCCTTCGGGTCCGGGTAAACCGGGTTTAAGAACCGGAACCGTGTTAGGAACCGGAACCGGTTTTAGGGGCCGGAACCGGTTTCTATGGAAAGTTTAAAACATGCATATCTCATTCGTTTGAAGTCGGATTGACATGAGGTTTTTTCCATAGTATAGTTTATAGTTTTTACATGATTTTAGACTATAATTTTGTCATTTTTGGGTTTATATTCATTGACTTATAGTCTCTCAAAGTCGGGATATCAAAGCTGGAAATTTTATGTTTTTCAGCGTTTTTTTGTATTCTGTGATAATTTTAAAAAATGCATATCTCATTCGTTTAAAGTCGGATTGGCATGAGGTTTTTTCCATAATATAGTTTATAGTTTGTACATGATTTTAGACTATAATTTTGTCATTTTTGGGTTTATATTCATTGACTTGTAGTCTCTCAAAGTTGGGATATCAAAGCTGGAAATTTTATGTTTTTCAGCTTTTTTTATATTCTGTGATAGTTTTAAAACATGCATATATCATTCGTTTGAAGTCGGATTGGCATGAGGTTTTTTCCAAAGTGTAGTTTATAGTTTGTACATGATTTTAGACTATAATTTTGTTATTTTTGGGTGTTTATTCATTCACTTATAGTCTCTCAAAGTTGGGATATCAAAGCTGAAAATTTTATGTTTTTCAGCTTTCTTTGTATTTCGTGATAGATTTAAAACATGCATATTTAATTCGTTTGAAGTAGGAATAGCATGCGGTTTTTTCCAAAGTGTAGTATAGAGTTTGTACATGATTTTAGACTATAATTTTGTCATTTTTGGTTTCATATTCATTGATTTATAGTCTTCCAAAGTTTGGATATCAAAGCTGCGATTTTTTTTTCTAAGCTTTATTTTTGTATTTTGTGAAATTTTAAAACATGCATTCGACCCACTTTACCCGGTTCTCCGGGGTTTTTGGTTTTAGACCCACTTTACCCGGTTCCATTCGACCCACTTTGATATTTCCGGGTTTTCCGGTTCTAGACCCACTTTACCCGGTAACTTACCCGGAACCGAACCGGAACCGGTTCCTATATACCGGTCCGGTTTCCGGTCCTAAAAAATCTCGTTAACCGACTCCCGGGTTTTCCGGGTCTGGGTCTACCGGTCCGGGTTTGGACCCACTCTCATCCCTATTCCTGACGACGAGTGTAAACGGATTCGCCGATTGGTTAATTGATTTGTTGACCGTTGAACGGTCATTTTGCCTTTTTTTTTTCAAACTCAATTCAATACACAAATAAATAAACATTCTATTTTCACCAAAACACACCTTCATTCTAACATTCATTCTCTAAAACCACAAAACACATGCACATGGATTCCACAAAACATATGGAATTTTTAAAAACTTTTGACTCGGATGACGACGTAGAATTCGTCGAGACATTCTTCAACGTTGTGTAACACATTCACGACGAAGAAAGTTCGAATGTTTCTCGTACAAGAGTGGTCGTCAATCGTGATCGTCAAGCCGCACACGACTTATTGGTACGTGATTACTTTGCCGATAATTGTCTTTATAATGACGACTCGTTCGAACGTCGTTTCCGTCTGAATAAGGCTATATTTTTACGTATTAGTAATGCTTTAGAATCTCATTATGATTTTTTCAAACAAAAACCCGACGCTAGAGGAAGAATGAGTTTTAGTAGTATACAAAAATGTGCTGCTGCTCTTAAGTATTTGGGATACGGTATAGCATTTGATGCATCTGACGAATACTTGGAAGTATCCGAGAGGACCGCAGTTGAATGTGTAGATTGGTTTTCTGCATGTGTCTATGAGGTTTTTCACGAACAATATTTGCGCAAACCTACTCAACGTGATATTGAGAGATTATATGCGGCTCATGAAGAGAGGCATGGATTTCCGGGTATGCTTGGCAGTCTAGATTGTACGCATGTGGCTTGGGAAAAATGTCCAAATGCATGGCGTGGTCAGTTCACTCGAGGAGATATAGGTGAACCAACTATCATCCTAGAAGCTGTTGGATCTCAAGATTTGTGGATATGGCATGCCTTTTTTGGAGTAGCGGGGTCTAACAACGACATTAATGTTCTTGGCCAATCTCCACTTTTCAACGATATTTGGACCGGAAAAGCACCTGATATGACGTTCACGGTGAACGGGCACGCGTACAAATACGGTTACTACCTTGGTGATGGGATATAACCGGTTTATTCTACATTGATGAAGGTATACTCGGTTCCTTGAAGTGAAAAGGCAAAGTTGTTTACAAAAAAACAGGAATCGGCGAGAAAGGATATCGAGAGGGCATTTGTAGTCCTTAAGCAGACATGACATGTAGTGAAATATGCTACACGACTCTGGGATAAAGAAAGAATTAAACGAATGGTCCTAGCATGTATTATAATGCATAATATGATTATTGAAGATGAAGGTCGAGTGATTTGCACGTATGATCTGAACGACGTTGTCATTCCAATTGAGGAGTTCGTACTCGGAACAAATGTGTTTTTAGAGCGAGTTGTTGAAATTCATAACATTGAAACATGTTTCAATCTTCGAGAAGATGTCGCGGAACATTTGTACCAACGTAAAATGAACGACGATTAGTTTTTTTATACGTATGTTTGTTTGTTTTTTTTTAATTAATGTAATGTTTTTTTCTAGATTAACTAAGTAATGTAGTTTGAAGTTGTAATTTTATTTTTATAATTAATGAAAAACTAGTTTAAAAAAATGAATGTTTTTTAATTATAAAAATGTAATTTTATTGTATTTTTGAATTAAAAAAATAATAAAAATAATGATGTGGAGTGGTGTGTTAGTGGTAGGTATCTCATGTTAGTGGTAGGGGAATGTGGTGCTGATGTGACACCCACCACATATGTGGTATGTGGTGGGTATATAACGGATGACCTCATTAATCTCTGATCCTTGTATCACCTACCACCGTCATAGCCCTTTTAGCAGGATCCATCTCCTCCTCATCATTTCCTAACTGAAAATCCATATGACATTACCAATAACAAAATGCTTACATACCCTCATCATCAATCTTGATTGTTCGTAACTATAATGCTCGGTACTCGGTAGGAACTTTTTGACCCAACGTATTGTGTCAAGATTCTTGATGATATTAGTGGTTCCTACTACTTTCCTATTGCAAAACCTGATGTCACGTACCGAACAAGATTTACTATTTTACTTTATCATAAAACTAGTTTATAACCCGTGGTAACCACGGTTATAAAATTAATTAAACTTTTATAATAAAAAATTATAATTTATAATTAGTTATTTTAAACAAGTCATTTTAAATAAATTATTAATTAAGAGATATATCAAATTTTTAAAGTTAATATAACTTCAAATTTAACATATAATTAAAAAATGTAAATTTGAATTTTGAAATGAGTTGCCTAATATATCTACATGACACATTGCATAATATTAATGATGAGTTGTATTGGAATGACACTTGACAAAAAGATATTAAAACTATTCATTTATTAGAATAGGGATTATGGATTTACGGTATGACTCTCATATGACTCTCAGTCCATATATATTGTAAATAAAATTTTAAATGGACTCATACATCTCGTCAATGCGTCAAGTATGTGTTAGTGTATCTCACATCAGTGCGACACGCTCTCATAAGTGACTATATATGTTGGAGTTCCCATTTTCTCCATAATGGCTCTTTTGGAGAGTTAATCTTGAGTTCCACATATATTTATATGGTATTAGCGTCACACACCCCCGTGGCTCCGGACATCCCAGTGTATCCTCATCGAGCCTCCGACTCTGAGAGGGAGTGTGTGTGTGTGTGATAAAATAAACGAATTGTATTTCAAAAACAGACTTACATAAAAAAATATGATACATCCATGACTTTTAATAAGTTTTTTTTTGAAGCAACACAAAACTAAAAAAAATCATATATAACGTATTTAATTAATCATTATCCATATCACTCTGTATAACATATGATTGATAACATGTATCATGATTTGTATTTCAAAAAAAGACTGCATGAAAGATATGACACATCCATGACTTTTAATAAGTAATTTTGTTAAGGAACACAAAACAAAAAAATCATATATAACATATTTAATTAAATATATATCACCCTATATAATATATGATTGATAACATGTATCTAATTTACATTAACGATTCAACTACAACATATACAACGATTGTAATAAAAGAATACTAAAACCAATAAAAATATATAA